CATTAATAGAGTGAGTTTCCTAAGCGAGTGGCTACAAAGTTGCCTAAGGGTGGAGGTGGGGGAGTGGGGAGGAGGGGAGGAGGGGCTTTGAACCAGGACTGGTCAGAAACAGGGGGTTGAAACTTCCATGCAGATAAGTAGTGAGATCAAGCTCTAGATTAGCACTCTACATCCTACCTAGAAAAGATAGGGAGACCTAATCTTTTGGAAAAAAAAAAAGAGAGAGAGAAGATTCAGAGTGAAATCCTGGCTCTTTTCTTCCTATATGACTTCAGAAAAGATACTTCACTTCTTAGCTAAAGGTCTGTAAAATGTGGTCATTGGATCCGATCAGTACCTGACCTTAACTTGGAGCACATGAAGTTTTAAAAAGATTTTGATAACTGGAAATACAGTTATATAATTTGTTTTCTTTGTACTCCTATGTAGTTTATTTTATGCATCTAAAAAGACTATTCTGAGATGGGTCTATAGGTTTCGCCAGACTGTGTCTGACAAAAAATAAAGTTAAGACATCCTAGGCAAGATGACTTGTGAGGTTCTTTCCGTTCCTAAATTTTATGATTCTTTGGCCTTACCCTTTGGACTTCACAAGGTATTTGTTTGAGCTTTATTTTGTTAGAGCATTTTATTATTTCTACTTTTTTTTTTTTACATTTTTACCTTTGTTTTTACATTTATCTCATTGTCCCCTAATGTATCCCTCCCCTTCTCCCTCTCAGAGCACTATGCCTTATAACAAAGAAGAAAAAAGAGAAAAGAAAAAAGCAGTTCAGCAAAACTAACCAACATATTGGAAAAAGTTTGACATTATATGCAGCACTTCACACCCATACCCTTTCACTTCTGCCAAGAATGGGGGCCGGGGAAAGACACCTTCTCTTATCTCTTCTGTGGGGCCAAGGTTGGTCATTGTAATTTGGCAGCATTCTGCTTTGGTCACTGTTATTGTTTGCCCCTTTGACATTATCATAGTAGCTGTGGAGGTAATTTTCTTGGTTGAGGTCACATAAGTCCTCTCTGGCTTGCTTGCATTGATCACTCTAATGCCATTTATCTATTATGTTGTGTATCACAGTGATCTATTTTTTCGTCCCTTCTCCTCCTAGACTTTAAACTCCTTGAAGGCAGGGACTGTATCTTAGCAAAAGTTTGTGTGTTTCCCAGCACCTAGAAGGTACTTAGTAAGTATCTAACACTGGCTTCTTCTGAGTCTTGCTCATTATTCTAATGCAGTTGGAGCTTCTTTCCAAAAACAGGTGCCATTGATAAGACCTGGGGGAGATCCCAGGTTCACTCCCTTTTGGAGGACCTCTTTCTGACAAACCTAACCCATTTTTTATTATTTATAGTTCAGACTCCAGAGCTGACATCTGCAGACCTCATCTTCCGCCTCTGGGGGTGGCCTTCTTTCATAGACTGCTATTCCCTGTGTACTGATTACATGTAAGATTGCTTCCTATTCCATGTCTATGTGCATGCCTCTGGGGGTGCATGTATGTATTTGTATATATGTGTGTATACATACATACATACATACACATACACACCATAATAATGTGTACATGATGCCGTAATATATGTGTATGCCTACAGGCGGGTCCATCTAGACAGCATGGTTTGTGAATGTTTTATTCTGTCTGCATATAAATATGTGCCCAGGCTAGACTCCCTCCTCAGTGCCTCATCACAGAGTTCAGATGAGCCTGGCTGGTGGAACATAAAGTTCTTGTGGGCCTTACAAAGCTAGAAAGGCTTCCTGTGTGGACTGGCTGGAGGACTGTATGTCTGTCCTAAGAGATCCAGTCTTGGGCAGCTAGGTGGCGCAGTGGATAGAGCACCGGCCTTAAAGTCAGGAGGACCTGAGTTCAAATGTGGCCTCAGACCAAACACCTGACACTTACTAACTGTGTGACCCTGGACAAGTCACTTAACCCCAATCGCCTAAAAAAACAAACAGACAAACAAAAACAACAATAACAAAAAAAGAGATCCAGTCTGTCGTAGAAAGTTCAGAGAGGCTCAGGTTGGCCACCAGCTGCCGAAGTTGACCCAGCAAGGGCAGTGTTCACCGGCTGCTTACGGGCTGCAAATGGTCACTGATCCAGTGGGAGGAGAACCAGCTGCAAGAAAATCACTTCTCCTCGTCTTGTTGACCCAAAAATATGTCCCTTTTTGCCTTAAACATATTTGCTGGCTTCTAAAGGGAAAAAAATGAAAAAAAAATTAATTATATATTTGCAACCTTTGAAAAATTTTATTTTAAGTTGGTGTAGGGGCACCTAGATGGCACAGAGCACTGAGCCTGGAGTCAAGAAAACCTGAGTTCAAATTCAGCCACAGACACTTATTTAACTGTGTGAACCTGGGCAAGTCACTTAACCTCTGTTTGCCTTAGTTTCTTCAACTGTAAAATGGAGCTAATAATAGCACCTACCTCTCAGGGTTGTTGAGGATTAAATGAGATAATATTTGTGAAGAACTTAGCATGATGCCTGGCACATAGTAGGAGCTTAATTTTAAATGATTGCTTCTTTCCTTCCAAGGGGAAATGACCAACTATTTTTGCAATTGTGAAAGTAGTCCTTCTAGACAAAAATCTAAGGACGTTGTTACCATAGTGGATGAGGTTATCTGTTTTACTGCGCACTTGCATAGTTTGCTATATTTTATTTTTCCTTCAGTAGGGGCTAGGGACTTTTTACTGTTGAACCACCAGGCCTTTGGAGGATTGATTAGTCCATCAAGATGTTGCAAAAACGATTATGGTTTTTATTTTTCCTCCACAAGAACTAATTTAGAACAATTGGGTAGAGAGACTGATATTGGACTATATAATGGAATTTGGAAATTCATTGGAAGTGAATTCGGCATCCATATACGTCTAAGAGAAAGTCATGAACTATTAAGAATAGCAGCCTGTTAAGGGAGCAGAACATTATTTCTGCAGAGTGGGAGGGCAGGGAGCGGGTTGGCAAGGAAACACCATGCCCCTGAAAGGTAGTATGCTCTAAGGAAGGCTCTGCCCACTCTAAAGATGCTGTGGCAGATGAAGGGTCTGAGCATGCTCAGTAGGCCCATGGGCTCAATGGATAGACAAGTAAGCATTCAGCCTGCAGGAGAGGTGAGCAGGGAGTGCATTCTAGGCAGGGGGGATAGCCAGTGCAAAGACACAGAGATGGAAGATGGTGTGAAGGTAGGTTGTGGCTAGTTGGGGAAGGGCTTTAAATGCCAAACAGGTGAGTTTATATTTTTATCCTAATGGCAATAGGGAGTCACTGGAGTTTATTGAATTAGAGTGTGACATAGTTGGCCCTAATCTTCAAATCATTATTCTGTTTTTCCTGCAATGGATCACTCAGAACCCAAAAGTTAAAGTAAAAAAGTCCTTTACTTAACATATATTTCAGTGCACTCGTGTAAAAGCAGTTCAGAGGATAAGAACAGATGAAAGCCAGAAAAAGTGTTCCTGGAGTCTCAGGGGCTCCCAGTCAGAGTCTGAAAAGCTGCTTTGTATTGTTCTTGCCACAGCTGAGTCCCAGATCAATCCTCCTGGGAGCAAAGTTAATTCCAACCTTCCCAGGTCCACACCACAACTTTCTGGCTTGTGACAGTCCTAGCTGGTGTTGGAAGAGGAGGGTAGGGAGAGGAGGTAACGTATACCTCCCCAGTTCCACCAGTATCCTGGCCCACTCCACCTGTGCTTTAGGAAAAATCACTTGGGAAACTTGTGGAGGATGTATTGGAGAAAGGAAGAGAGGAGAAGGGAAGAAGAGAAGCTTGAGGCCATGAGATCAGTTAGTAGATCATTGTAATAGTAACTGGCAAGAGCTAGGCTGGAGTGGCTATGGGAAAAGAGAGAAGGGGACAGGGAGAGACTTTGTGGAGGGAGAAACAAGGATATGTGGGGTGAGGGAGAGTGAGGAGACAAAGACAGCTCAGAGGGGGTGATCCTGGGATACTGGGAAGACAGTGGTGCCTCGGACCAAAATGGGGTGGATTTGGGGAGAAGGATGAAGAATGCTGTTTTGGATGTCTGAGGTGTCTATGGGACATCCAGTGTGAAATATTTAATAAGGAGGTGCTGAGGGCCTGGGGCTCAAGAAGGAGGGTAAGGCTGAATGGATGACATTTGACAAATTTGCCTAGAGGTATCCATTGTTTAGGGGGTGCACACCTTGGCTAGTACTTGCTTGGTGGTGGGGGGGACAATCTGTATACATGCATATATGTATAGCAATGTATGTGATATGTATCTTTTTTGTCTGAAGAGAGCTCAAGGGCCTGACACGCCTGGAAGTTATGAGGAAATAATTCACAACTTAGGGGTTTACACAGGCACCAAATGCGCTACTTTTCCGTCTATTCTTTCTTGACGCATTTCTTTCCTCCTTCAGCAGTGAGTGGCAGTGCCACCCAGGTTACTGGTCCAGGAATCTGGAGATCTGAGTTTAGCTCAGCTTTGATCTCCTGGATCCCTTACGGTAGACTGACCAACCTATTGAAAGGCTTCCAGGCTGAGAGCCCAGGGCCTGGAGTCCTGGCCAGGGTTGGGCTCTGGGGACTGTCACTGATCAGTTGATTCTCTGAGGGCCACGGGCAACTTGCTATAACTTTAGACAGGGAAAATGGGCACCTTGTCTACTAGGAGATGATGTGAAGCAGGTAAGACTCAGGCATAAAGCTTTGCATGTTTTCCAACCTTTGTTCGAGTTTTAAATCCTATTCCTTCCTACCCTGAATTCCCTTAGGGCAGGGCTCACATCTATCCCTCTTCTGTCTCCCTCTAGTCTGAGAGTCCTGAGGGAGGGCCTGGCTCATAGCACTGCCTAGCTTGGTGTGGGAGGCACAAGGCTGGACACAAGGGTGCAGCTGGGTTGGGGGAAGTGTGGTGGGGAGTGGGCATGGAGTGATGGGGTATTTCACATTTTTTGGATGAGTTCATTTGAAGCCCAAACAGAGAACTAAACACCCTCCTCTTGATTTTGTATTTAATCCAGCAAACCCTCTGGGTATCCTCCTGGCTAATATGGGGTCTCCTGCGCTTGTGAAAAAAGAGGAAGATATTCCATTAATGGTAAACCACAGCAGCTGAATCATGCCCCTTTTCCTTCACATCTCCAACACTGTTGCTGAGCAGTCAGTCACCATGATGACTTTGATCCAGCCCTTACCTTTCTCTTGACCCTCAGTCTCACATGTCCAACTGTATTGCAGACAACTTGGCCTGGGATGTCCCGTAGACATCTTAAACCCCAGAGGTCCAAAACAGAACTCATTATTTACCCCAGCTCCCCAACCCTCCCTCTTCCTAACTTTCCTGTTACTGTCCAGGGTCTCCCCATCCTCCCAGTCACATAGCCCAGGCTCACACCTTTGGTGCTGTCCTCTACTCCTCCCCCTCTCTCAGCCTCCATATCAAATCTGTCAACAAAGCCTGTCAATTTTAACTCTACCACGTGTCTCTCAAGTCTCCCTTCTCTCCTCTGACACTGCCACCATCTTGGTGCAGGCCGTCATCATTTCGCCCCTGGACTACTGCGATAGCCTGCTGGTTGATCTCTTGCTCACAAGTTCCTCCTCACTCCAATCCATCCTCCACTCAGCTCTCAGATTAATCTTCCTACAATGCAGGTCTGATCATATCATACCCCTGCCTCCCCATTCAATAAACTCCAATGGTTCCTTATTATCTATAGGATCAAATTAGAAAATCCTTTGTTTGACTTTCAAAGCCCTTCATAACCTGGAGCCTTCCTATCTTTCTAGACTTCTTACTCCTTATTTCCCGTCATGTACTCTGTCATCCAGTAACACTGACCTCCTTGCTGTTCCATCTTCCAGAGCCTTCCCTCTGAGATTACTCACAATTTATCCTATTTATATCTTGTGTATTGTCTTTCCCATTCAACTTTGAGCTCCTTGAGAACAACGATTGTTTGTTTTTTTGTTTTTCTTTGTATCCCCAGCACTTGGCATAGTGCCTGGCACACAGTAGGCAGTTAATAAAATGCTAGTTGACTGAGTGACCATGACCTCTGTATGTCTGAACTTCTCCCCATGAATGCACATGTGTACATCCCTGTGTTTGTCTTTTGCCAGCTTGGATTCTACATCATCCCAGCTGGTGTTGCCTGCCTCCTCTCCAGTGCCTGCATTTGGGAAAGCATCCCTCCTACTCCTCCATCCAAGGGAGCTGCCACCTCTACCTCAGAGCCTTTTCTTTCAGGGATGTGGATTGTAAGTGCCCCTCAGAGCAGACATGCCAAGAGCCCCAGAACTGGAACCTTGGTCATTTTTTCTCTTGGTCTTGGAAACCAGAAATGCACAATTCAGAGAGAAATCCAAACTCCTGATTGGTCGTCAGTCATACTTACTTTATCTGGGCCAAGTCATGTTGGCCCTATTTGGGGGATGGAGAGATGCCAAAGGATCAGTCCTGGCTCAAAGCCTAGGGTAGAGAGGAGGAGGAGGAGAAAACTTAGGTCCAGGCTTTGCCCTTAGGGAACTCACAGTTGGGGTAGGAAGAGGGAAGGGGCTGCAGGAGGAAGAACAAACTTGGGCCCTTAGATCAGGGGAACTCATCGTCTGTAGGGGAAAGAAAATTCCTACAAAATACTTAATTAGAGAAGAGCATAGGATCCAAGGCTGGAGTCCGTAGTTCTGCATTAGAAATTCAGGGAAGGCAACTATCAATGCATGCTGGAGCAATCAGGAAAGGCTGCATGGAAAGGGTCTCTTTGTTAATTTCTGACAGTATAGATCATTAACAGGGTAGAGAAAATCCTCCTCACATTACCTTGCCCAAGGGTTTCAGCCTTCGCTCTACAGAGCATTCAACAAGTACTTGGCAGTATAAGAATGAAGTGGTTTTGATTTCCTGTATCAGCCTGGTCAGCTCTGGGTTCTTAAAATGGAGTAAAGGGTTGACACTATCACCCAAGAGTTGACCTGTGGGTGAGGGGAGATCCTGACACCCAGACTACCACTAATTCTCTTAGTGTGACCTTAGCAAAGTGATAGCTGAACTCATTCATCTGCAACATGAGGGGATTGGGCTAATGTGTCATGGTCCCCTTGGGAAGTGTGGTGAAGGCTATGGATCCCTATATATTATGGCCTACATTTATAACTGAAGGAAATAGTAAATTTCAGAGGTTAATGGAAATAAAGATGTAATTTGTTGTTTCATCAAAGTTCATGGGACCCACCCCCCTGAAATCTACATGGAGCTGGGTTAAGAACCTGTGAGAGGTGTCTAGAAATGTTCCTGGGAACCCAAGGGGTAGGTTATGGGAATGTGTGGTCCCAAATCAGAAGTCATACCTAGTTCCATGCCTTCCTATCCCATCATCCTTAAGCCAGAAAGTAGGTGAGAATTTTGTCATGCCACATGTTCCATATGAGCACTATGAGATATATTAATCATGTAGTTCTCATGTTATACATCATACATCATCCTGGGTTTATCTGTTACATATAATGCATGTCCTGTGAAACCTCTCTTCTGTATAGGCTGCATGTGTTTGGGTTGCCTACCATGATCCTTGCATGTGTCATGAATTGTACATAAATCACCAATGGCATATGGCATGTATGTCGTGGTTGGCTTCCAAGCTCGGGCTGCCATGTGAATGGAGCTGCACCGTTTCTTGCTCAGCGCAGGTGCTGATCAGGGATATTTCTGGGAGCAGAGTCTTAGGACAGAATCCTCACTGTGGAGCCTCAGTCTAAGGCCTCACCTGCCTCTTGGTCTTCTTCTCCAGCTCCTTCGGAACAAAGCATATGTCATCCTGGCCCTGTGCTTTGGAGGTGGCATTGGTTCCTTCACGGCCTTCTCTGCCCTGCTGGAACAGATCCTCTGTGTGAAAGGCTATTCCAATGTGAGTAGGGGATGAGGAGTATGGGGGGTGGGAGGAGGAACACGATGAAGCTGGGTGGGAAATGATGAGGCGGCTGCTGTCCTGAAGGTCCTCCTTAAATGGAGGATCTGGGAAGATCGCGATAGCCGTTCTCCATTCTCTATGATCAGAAGGTGGGAGGAGCCCCAGGGACAAGGGGTGCTAAGGAAAGTGTGAGATTCAGAGCCGACTCATCTTGCAGAATGATGATTTTTGGGAGATCGTGAAGTCCAGGAGAGCAGCCACGTGGGAAACAATGGATCTTAGAGCTCGAAGCTTAGACCTTAGAGCTCTCCTCAAATTTTCTTAGTGTGCTTATATTTTTTGTTGTTGTTGTTGTATACAGATATCTTTTACGCCCCTATCACATTGAACCTTGGACTTAGTTTAGTTTATTCTATTATTAGACTTTTTTAGTTTATTTATTAAACTGTAAGCTACTTGAAGGCAGGCTGTCATTTTTCACTTTTTGAGTTCTTACATAGACTAGGATATGGTAGACCACTAATAACTGTTTGCTGTGGAATTGGATTGTTGTTTTTTGAATCTCCTCTCTTTTTTTTTTTTTTTGGCTAGGCAATGGGGTTAAGTGACTTGCCCAGGGTCACACAGCTACTAAGTGTTATGTGTCTGAGGCCGGATTTGAATTCAGGTCCTCTTGACTTCAAGGCCAGAGCTCTATCCACTGTGCCACCTAGCTGCCCCTCTCCTCTCCTTTTTCAGAGGGGAAAATGGGGACTCAGAGGAATGGATCATTCAACAAACATTTATTAAGCTATATGCCAGGATCTGTGCTAAGTCCTGGGGATACAAAGAAAAAGCAAAAACAGTTCCTTTCCCTCAAGGAGTTTACATTCTAAGGAGGGAGACAACATCTATAAATCAGAATAAACAAGATAGAGATTGCATGGGAGGTAATCTCCAAGGGGAACGTGCTAGCAGGTTGGGGTTGGGAGAGCAGAGGAGGATGGGGAAAGGCCTCCTTGAGGATGTGGCATTTGAACTGAGTCTTCAAGGAAGCCAGGGATTGGGGCAGCTAGGTGGCTCAGTGGATAGAACACCGGCCCTGGAGTCAGGAGGACCTGAGCTCAAATCCAGCTTCAGACACATAACACTCACTAGCTGTATGACTCTGGGCAAGTCACTTAACCCCAATTGCCTTCACCAAAAAAAAAAAAAGAAAAGAAAAGAAAAGAAAAAAGAAAAAAAAGAAAGCCAGGGATTCTGAGAGTTTGAGATTAGGAATGAAGAGCATCCCAGACATAAGGAACAGCCACCACAAAGGCCCAGAGGCAGGAAATGTGTTGTGTACAAAAACAAGGAGGCCAGTGTCACCAGATCATAATATACATGGAGGGGAGTAAAATTCCAGAAGACTTGGAAAGGTAGGAAGGGCTTTGAGGAACAGGGGATTTTCTATTTGCTTCTGGAGGTAGTAGGGAGCCTTTGGAGTTTATTAAGTGTGAGTGGGGTTGGGAAGGTTGACGTGGTCAGATTTATGTTTTGGGAAAATCTCTTTGAGTGTTGAATAAGTGGAGGAACTGGAGTGGGGAGAGATTTAAGGTTGGCAGACCAGTTAGGAGGCCATTGTAACAGTCTGTGGGAGACATGATAAAGGCCTTTGGTGGTGGCTGCGGGAGTAGAGGAAAGGGCATATGTGTGAGAGATGTAGAGAAAGAAATGGCAATATGTAGCCATTGATTGGATATGTGGGGTGAGCAAGAGAGGATGGCAATGCTCTAGACAGTAAAAGAGAGGTGAGAGGTGAGAGGTGGGAGAGGAAAGGTAACGAGCTTTGATTTGGACGTGATGACTCATGTTCTCTTAGCCAATCCTGGTACCCAGGTCCTCTCACTCCCACAGTCCAATATTCTGTCCTCTGCCTTGGAAGATGGGTCCATCTCCTTGGATTTTGTAGGATTCAGTTCAATTCAACAAACATTAATAAGGACCTACTGTTTGCAGAGTCCTGTAAAATTTGTTTCCAGGAGTTTACAGTCTAGTAGTCTTGAAGCAAAAGATAATGGGATATGGACTGACTTGAGTAAGACAAAGTAGAGAGTGTAAAGATATCTAAGAGAACTAGGAAGATGGACTTCAGTCAGACCAGGCTTATGCTCCTCTGTATTCAGATTTTATGCAATTCAACAAATATTTATTGACCACTTCTAAGTACCCAAGACCGTGCTATGCCTTGTGAGACTATACTTTGCAGAGAAGGTGAAAGCTTGTATAGACAGAAGGACATTCCTTATCTGGGAGCTGCCTATGGCAGGCCCAACTCCTATCTTCTCTTTGTATCAACCATAATTTCCTTGCATTATTCTTGGATGGGAGGTTAGTGATGAAATCTTTGGTCATGGCCACCCATGAAATAGACAACTCATAAAATAAACCCAAACAGTCCCAGGTCTACACCATGGCTTCCTTCCTTGCAACAGTCCTAGTAAGTATTGTGGGAGTTGGGTGTGGGGATGGGGTGGGGATCAGAATGAGATGGAGACAAAAATTACAGAATGACCCTCAGTGCTGTATGATCCCTTCTGGTTTTTTGAGTGTTGGCAGTAGAAAAAGAGACAGAAAATATGAGGAGTTTCATAGTTTTAATTTTAATGTTGGTATTCTGAATATTTGTGAGATACCTGTCTAATGACCAGTGAGTATATATGTACAATTAGAGGAACATTCTTGCTATAAATGACACCAGAAAACATAAGGAAGTTGCAGCTAAAAGATAAGATCCTCCCCGCCCCCACCCCCCCAGTTCTCCTTGGAGAAGCAAAGTGCTGCTGCTATTTGTCCTTTGTTCTCAAAGAGGACCATGACATCAGGAAGGTGATGCCATGACATGCAAGTGAATTGGATTTAAGTGAGGGAGGGCTGTGCAAAGTCACCAGCCTCACTTTCACCTCCGGAGCCATCTGGTTCCAGTGGCCAGATATGGATCAGGACAACTGGAGATGGCCCAGGATGCAGTGGGGAACCTTGGCCTTTTCAAGCTAAGGCCTTTAACGAGTCTCAGTTTGACTGAGACAAAGCCTATTCAGTGATTAAGGCTTAATAAGAGAGGCAAATAAAGGAGTGAACAGGATTGGTGCCATCATATGACATAAGGCAGCAAGAAATTTCATTTCTGGTTCAACATACATTTATTGAATGTCTACTATATGCAAAGTGCTTGGGATTCAAAACTCAAAGTGAAAAAGCCCCTGCCTTCAAGAAACTCCTATTCTAGTGTATGTGGTAGTGGTGTTGGGGATGGGACATAGAACGTACACAGGCACTAGATGACAAGGAGAAGGAAGGTCCTAGGGAACAACTGGGAGGAATCAGGGAAGGTTTCTTGTAGGAAGTGGTACCTGCTCTGAACCTTGAAGGACTTTAGGGATTTGGAGAGATGGAGATGAAGAAAGAATCGATTCCGGGCATGGGGAACAAACAGCCTTTGAAAAGGCACAGAGGCAGTCTAGGGAATGTTGACTTCAGGGACCGGATAATAAGCAAGGTGGGCTGAGATTGTAGACTATATGAAGGAGATATTTTGTTGTTGTTGAGTCTTTTCAGTCACTACCGACCCTCTATGACCCCATTTGGGGTTTTCTTGACAAAGTTACTGGAGTGGTTTGCCATTTCCTTCTCCAGCTCATTTTACACATGAGGAAACTGAGGCAAATGAGGTTTAGTGATTTGCCCGCGGTCACACAGCTAGTGAGTATCTGAGGCCGCATTTGAACTCAGGGCCTCCTGACTCCAGGGCTGGCGCTCTTTCCACTGCGCCACCTAGCTGCCTTGCCTGCCATATAGAAGGCACTTAGATGCTAGTTGGCCTACTGATTAATCCGAAATGTCTGGAAAGGTAGACTAGAGCCAGATTCACTGGACTAAGGGGGTTTTGTTTTACTGTAGAAGTAAGAGGAAGATTTTTAACAATTCAAGTGATGTGACAATACCTCTCTCTTCCGAATATTGGTTTGGCAGATGAGTGGAGGAGGATGACCTGGAAAAGGCGGAGGCTATTGGGAGGGAAGGAAGTAGGAAGTGGAGCAAGGAGGCATCTTCTGAAACAGGAAGGTCACCCTCTATAGGCTCTGAAAGTGGAAGAATGACTTATCAGAGGACAATCATTCGACTACCAGTGGACTTTTTTTTTTCTTTTTGACTAAGCAATGGGGTTAAGTGACTTGCCCAGGGTCACACAGCTAGTAAATGTTATGTGTCTGAGACTGGATTTGAACTCAGGTCCTCTTGAATCCAGGGCCAGTGTTCTATCCACTGCGCCACCTAACTGCCCCTCCCAGTGGACTTTTCCAGGAGCACAAGGGAGAGCTGCAGAAAGTGGAATATAGTATTTGCAAAGATAAGAAGCATGCTCCCTGAATCCAGAATTATATACCCAGCAAACCCTAGCATGATCAATGAAGACAAGTAGCCTTTGAAAAGTTTATAGAGAGATATATCTACTTCAAAGAAGTGTTTGAACTCTAAAAGCCTTCTTCTCCAAAAGATAAACATTTAAAGCAATCGGGATAAAGCAGTTGCTAAGAAAATAAAACCAGGGGCAGCTAGGTGGCGCAGTAGATAGGTCTCTGACCTTGGAGTTAAGAGGATCTGAGTTCAAATTTGACCTCAGACACTTGACACTTACTAGCTGTGTGACCCTGGGCAAGTCACTTAACCCTGATTGCCTCACCAAAAAGCCAAAAAAAAAAAAAAAGACCAAATCACTGAAGGTTCAGAATTGTGTTTCAGAGAAATGGATAATCTAGGGTGGTAGGGAGAAAAACTCCCCAACGGACCAAAAGAGAAAGTACAGAGAAGGCTAATGCCTAAATGAAGCCCTGAGCTTGATAAAGGGGAAGTCTAAGGGTTCTGTTGTTGTTGAGCTGTTTTCAGTCATGTCTGACTCTTCATGATGCTATTTGGGGTTTTCTTGGCAGAGATACTGGAGTGGTTTGCCATTGCCTTCTCCAGCTCATTTTACA